AGGCATTCTTTTCACCTCAGATCAAATGGTGACCACCTGTTACCTATCACTGTAATCTTACACAAACAGGTTGACAGAAAGCAGTATCATCTCTTGTGACCAGTCTGGTATAATAACTGACAAACTGTATCCTGAAAGGTAAATTGTGAAAGCCAATTCAGAGAATGAATAAAGATCAAGCAGGTGTTTAATGTTAAGTACCTTCTCCAAAGTTGTTCTGATATCAAAGTGCTGTTTATACTCAGTTTTATTACTTTGATGGCTTTTCAGTTGTTCTTGCTTTACAACTTTGCTGAAGAAATGGAGTTGGTAAAAATATCAAATTAAAGGAAAAAGGTAATTGAACTGGTACAACTGGAAAAGTTTTGATTGTAAACTTTCTAGAGAATTTTAAAAGTAGAAGATAGGAGATAAAAGTCTAGGAAACTGAGAAATACGTTACCAAAAGTCAGTGGCAACAACTATTGGATAATTTCAACTCTATGTCCTTTAGTATTTTTATTTTCTGTTTGCAGTAATGAGGGAGCTCTAATCTGAGTTCTTCAGTTATTGATTTGTTGCTTGTCTGTTCCCTAGGAAAGTCAGATGAAGATCAGCGTGACAATATTTATAGGCTGCATCTCATCTGTGGGATGCAATCCATCTTCGTTAAGTTCAGTAAAAGTGATAGATAGCATTTGGCAACGTAATGATGTGATCACTCTACCATTGCCTTTGTAAATCATAAGCTGTTGCATTCTCTTGTGTAGATATTTAATCAGTTATACACCCCATTACTGATTTAATTCAGAATGTCAGTGGCAGGTGAATAATGTGAGTATTTGTATATTAATATCATATTGTATTAATGTTCCTTTCTTTTAAGTATGCTATTCATGTGAAAATCATAAACTGGTGCTTCATGGCTAGAATAAATTTAATCAGTGCTGTAGGCATCTAATGCCATCAGTGTTTTAATTCAATATGTCAGTGAAACAAATGTGTTTCTTTTCATTTCCAGTTTCTTTATGCTTTACTAATTCAGAATATTATGTGATGCTGTGAAAATACGAAGCTGAAAGTAAACAAATTGCTAGTTTTCATCCTGTCAGTAGATTTTGGGACTGAATTCCCCAACTGTAGCACTAGATAGGATGAGTATTTCTGATACATTTTAAAGTAACTGAATATCTAATGATAAATTAACTTTGAAAAAAAAAAAGTGCCTTAGAATATTCCTTAATGAAGTGTGAAATAAGTAAATATAAAATAATATCAATGCAAACTGGTAATGGTATAGAGTGCAGTGGCTTTGGAATCTTCTCCAATGTCCTGTCTTTGGCAAGATGAAGTTGCTAGAAGGTTTTAGTTCTAAGGAACCACCTGAAAGTGGCTAGAGGACCATTTCTAGGACTATTTCTGTCCTCAGTTGGCACCTATTTTATCATTGATAAAAGGATTTTTTTTGAATTTTGGATTCTTCACTAACTTATAAAACAAAAAGTTTATTTTAACCTGGAAACAGTATAAATTAATGAAAAATATTGTATTAGCACTGGTGACTTATTATACTGAAGATTTGCCTGAGTGGTGTACTGGTGGTACTTGATCCAGCTCATACAACATGCTAATAAGAACCAAGTTAGTTGTATTTTCCATTGTAAGAATTTATCTAAATATTGGATCACTTTAGCACCTACTCTGTAAGTCCTATGCTGTAGACTTTAAAACCACCTTACCTACAGATTTGTAAAAGTATTAAATGATTCTCTTCTGTATTGGTGGAATTCTCAATTCTGTAAGTAAGGAATATGATAAAACTGAAAGTTTATTGGCAAATAAAAGAGAGTGCTTGGTATAAAACCTTCAGAATTTATACTTTTGGTGGAACTAAGCAACTGCAGTTGGTATGTTTGCAGCAGACAGTTTTATGTTTACTTAGTGGGGGTTTTTGTCTTACATCAAGGCAATTGAAATCGTCTGAATTTTTTTTTTTAAAGAAAACCTTTTTTTTTTTCCTTTGAATTTTTGTGTTTCTGATGTTTCTGAAACCATTATCATCCACAGGCTTGTCACCTGAGCTTTTTGATAGTTTCAGATTTAATTTGCTTGAAGATGCGATCATCTAATAAGGAGCTCTCTCTTCTTCTTTAAAAAGCATATATACATCAAGCAGTTCCTGAAGTTTTATTTGTGATAAAACATTTCCTTAATTGGATATCAGATACTTGATTTCAGGCAGCTTTCAGAGCATGATTCTGTTGCCAGCTTGTTTTCAGGTTTTGTTTGTTTGTTTTTTCTTTTTGATCACAGTCTTAATCTTTGAAATTCCCATTAAGATAGAGAGTTCTTGGGTTTTTTTTATCTTGGCTTCTTTATTTTCTTTTAAAGTTGTTGCTGCTGTTCACTTTTAAATAAAATGTTTTATTAATTGCTTTGTTTTAGTTCTGCTCCACTCAGAACATATGTATATATGGTAAAGTTTTTCAAAACTGCACATATAGTTATTTTATTAAAACAAGAGGAAGATACATTTTTCATCTGTATGCTGAATGTTTGCTCATCTCCATATATGGCATAACCTTCCATGACTGTTTTATAAAAGTCTAGAAATCACCATTTTATAAATAGCAATATTGAATTAAACCTTCTTCTGTCACCACTTACAGACCTTAATATGGAGTTGCAGTATGATGTGTTGGTCCAGTTTAAGAATGTGAAGCTATACTTTCTGATATCCGTAGAAAAATTTAGTTGTTCTTTTAAGTATAGGAATTACAAGATGTGTAGGTTTACCTGTATTTGAAGAGCCCATATCTAAGTTGTACAGACTTCTGTCCATGGGAATGATCCCTGGGCCCAGACCAGGGAGCAGAGTGGTTCATACATGCAGTGCTTTGCCTGATACCTCTGGGATGATTTGGGCAGTCCAAGTTTCCTTTGAATCTTGTGTTGTGTTTCTCTGGCTCTGAGAAATTATCATTATTTTTTGGATTCCTTCTGTTTCATGCTGCCTAAAATTGTGTGCTAGCCATATGTCAGTCCAAAGTGTGATATTTTGATGTTACAATGTCAAGGATATTTTTTATATGTCCTGAAGCATGGTTTGAGAAAGTTAAGTTGTGTTTGAGATGTGGATATTTCAGTGGTTGGGAGGTCTCTATAGGCAAAAGGAACAAAACCTGATGTGATCTTATTTATACTCCCCAAAGAGTTGTTATGTTTTGTTTTTTTTCAGAAAGAGTAGCAATTTTTTGCCAGAATACATCAGTTAAATCTCAGAAGGAATTAGTTGTTTTGTTCTAGAGGTTACCCTGGTATAAAGTAACATGCATGTGGTGTGGGTGCTCGAGAGTGCAAGACCCAAGAATGAACCAACTGACTTTCTCAGTTCATAGTACAGCCAGACATACCCAGAAACTGCATAAACCATAGTTGATAATAAGCCTGCATTCAGGCGTGTTGTAACTGGTTTTAAAATACTTCAGTAGGTGTTTGCATGTCTCTGTCACGATGTTTGAAAGAACTGGTTATATTTGATTTCAGTTGGTGATTTCCGAAACAAAAAAAATAAAACTTTTGCTATATGTCAATGTGTTTCATGCTTAAAATTCAAAATAAATTAATAAAGCAACTAAATATTGCATTCAAAGAAAGAATAAGTGTAACCCATTCATCTTAGTGAAAACCAGAATTCTTATCAAAAGGGTCATCTTTGCATGCTCAAAAGTGTTTTATAATTTTCAAGTTGCCTTCAATGCCATTTTTAAAGATAAACTCAGTTTGCTTTTTTAAGGTACTGAAAAGTGAGCTGAAGATATCTTTTTTTTTAAAAAAAACAAAATCTCCTTCATAACTAGGAAAACCATATATTCACCTCCCTTTAAGGAGTGTTATCTAATTTATTTTTTCTATTCTTTCTTCTTTATGACAAGTCACTGAGACTTCTCTACAGGTATGTCATGAAAATATAGTCAGAAGATCTCCAAATGCTTTAGAAAGAGAAATATGAAGAACTGATAAATAAGTATTTGTCTCATAGTATCGATTTAGTGTTAGCACTTTCAGTGTAATCAGACTTATTTGGGGATTTTCTGTTCTGTGCATATGAATTGCATGGTAAAAATCACATCTTCCAGCAAGCCAAATGTAAACTGTAATAACCAGCGTAACGTAATCCTTATTGTGTTTGTAGATTTTTGTCTTCTGTAGCTCATTAATAAACTACCTGAACCTTCTGGTCTAAAATTATTTGTTTCTAACAAAATAGTAAGTGAAGTAATTAACGTACGTTTCTGCAGTAATTCAAAAATAACGTTAGGAAATAGTTACTCGTGTTTCTTAGTCTGTCACTTTAATATATTGGAATCAGATAAAATTTATCTTTTTGGGATATTAAATATAGGCTTTAGCTACTTATTTGTATTTGCTTTTGTTTCTAGCTTACAGTTTTTTATGTAGAAAAAAAGAGTGTGGTACTGTGGCTTATTAAAAATGATGTATTGATACTGAGACCATCAGAGTTGGTCTTTTTTCAGTATTTTTCAGGTGTTTAAAAACAGGATACTTTGATCTCTATTAATGTAATGTGTATCTGTGTTAGAAAATACACAGAAAGGTAATGCTAAATGATACGAGTAATTATTGAAAACATGTCCAAGACTTGGCTTAAATGATGTTTGAAGTTGTGACTAAATTATTGCTGTCTTGAATAAATGCTTATTATTTCTGGGGCACTGTAATAAAAATATTATTTTAATGAGTGTTAGAATTGACAAATACAGTGCAGGGATATTAACGGTGCTCTTGTTTTTGATGTTTTTTTATTTAAATTTATGAAAAAATAAGACTAGTTTGATTCCAATAAAAAAATTAATAGCTGAAACAATAAAAGAATCGACAGAGTCAATAGGCTGAAGTAGCCAGACTCTGTGATTCTGCAAGATCAACTTTGAGGAAAAAGAAAAACAAATATCTTGTTAAAAGGAGTTTTATTTGCTCTGTGTAACCATGTCTTCCAGATGTTGGGTCAGTGGAGGGACTTGCTTATCATAGAGCTTGGGACACTCTCTATTGGACCAGTTCAACCACATCCTCCATCACGAGACATACTGTTGACCAGAGACGTCGGGGAGCTTTCAACCGGGAAGCAGTAATAACAATGTCTGAAGACGATCATCCACATGTGTTAGCTCTAGACGAATGTCAGAAGTATGTATTATATCTTTCTTAACAGCTTTTAATTTTTGCCTAATGTCCAGAATACAGTGGCATTTCGTTGTTTCACAGTCAACTAATACAAAAACCTATGAAGGTGAAGTAGATTTCTTTGTTTAGGAGCCAAATGTTAGTATTAATTTTTTTTTAAGCCATTGCAGACTTAGGATGCAACATTTTGCGTGTTTTTATGTTTCAGATCAAATAATCATTACATTTTCATGAAATGTTAAAAAAATCAAGCTGGTTTTAAGAAAAGTTAGCTAAATGCAGATTATCAAGAGCAATCATTTTACTGATTTCATTTGTCAGACATATTACTCTCGTTGCTTAAATAAAAGTAAAATTAATTTAAGCATTTACAAAAAGGAATCTGAGTTTCTTATGCAGCAAATTGATAGACCTATGTGTTTATCACAAAAATCAGTGTTGTATAAAATTACATAACAAAAGATGTACATTTGCGGTGCTTGTGGACAGCATCTTGGAAAGAAGTCTAATTTAGTTCCCCTCCTGCCACTCTCAAGAAAACTGTGTTTCCTAGTAAGGTAATAGGAGGGTTTATATTTCCACTTCAACTTCTTGCTAATAAGTGTCTTACAAATTTGGGTTACTTTAATCTTCTCTGTTAATTCTGGAAGAAAGGCGACCTGCTTTTTCTGCTTCTTGTAACTGTCCCCCCTTTGGGGAGGCTAGGCTACATTTCTACCCTATTAAGTCCTATTTTTAATTTGTGATAGCTACACATACAATGTTGCATGGGTAGTCAAGGAGGTTATTTCCACGTGTGACTTCACATACAGTTTATGCAAACTACGAGTTTATGCTGTATTTTAAAATACGATTTATCTAGGTATCGTAAATAAACGAACTAAATACTGATGGAGATTGCAATGAGATGATGGGCAGGTTCTCATCAGTGTATAAATTACATCCACAGCTCATACCATAACATTTTGTCCACCATTGTTTAACAGTAACGGGCCAATTGAGCCTCCTGTAGAGCATATTAAGGTCACTTGATTCCACATTATCAACCTTCTGCACACCAGTCCTTTGGTCTGTATCACAGTTCTAATATGGGAAAAGCTGCAAATTCATTTCAATGTTAGAAATTACTAATATACACATTAGCAGAATCAAGTTTATATCATTACACAGCTTATCTCTCTCTCTAATGGTATATTGGTATAGAAACATGATCAGAATTGAACAGACCTGTGAAGAGGAAAAAAAAATCTGTACTAGTATACAAGTTAATGAACTAGGAAGCTGCTGTAATTTATAGGATGTTGGCTATTACATTTTCTTATTCACCACTGATTATCACAATTACTTATAGATGCCATTCATAATTGTGAAGGCATATGTTTTTTCTGTTGCTCATTTTATAGAGAATTAAATTATAAAATGTATCTTATGGTTTTGTTTATTATTTTGATTTTAATACAGCTTAATGTTTTGGACTAATTGGAATGAGCAGCTCCCAAGCATCATGAGATCTACCCTCTCAGGCAAAAATGCACAGGTTATCATTAGTACAGATATTCTGACACCAAATGGACTTACCATTGATCATAGGGCGGAGAAACTTTACTTTTCAGATGGCAGCTTGGGAAAAATTGAGAGATGTGAATATGATGGATCACAAAGATATGTAAGTAAAAAAAAAAATCCGAAACGTATTCATTGTAAATCTGTTTGTTTGCATTTTTTAGCATCTTTAAAGTGAAAATGTTACAGGAAGATCATTAGTTGCCTAAGTCTCTCCTAGTATTAGTTGTATATTAGATTTAAAACTGAAACACTTCTGAACTACAAGTAATGCTCTGTTTACTCAACACATTCCTGTTTCTGGATGACCTTCTGGAGATGCAAACCCTTACCACAAAATCTGTTTGCATTAGTATTGAACCTGAAGCATCACTGTCCTAAATGATGTGTATCAGCTTGAAAAAAAATTTAGAACTTCAGTGGAAGGGGTAGAGAAATATTCTGCTTTACATAGGAAGATTACAGTTTTCCTTCCAGTACCAAACTTTTCTGAATGCACTAGAATTATTTTTGTGTAATGCTTGAGTGGTAGTCTACAGATCTTATTTTTTTCTTTTCTAACTCTACATTTTCAGATATATTCAACTACACTCCATTACTCTTTTATCATAAGACATTTTGGCCCTTGAGTGCTCTATTAGTTTCAGCTCAAGAAGACCTTTTGCTTGGAATATGCTGAAGGCAGTTGATCTGTGCTCACGATTTTGTTGCATGTTTAGCTCTACATTTTTCAGATTTCATGAAGTCTTCCTTCTGGGGATTTTGTACCTCCCAAAGTGCATGATAAAATGAATGAAGGGCATGTTCTGGCTTGTATTTTCAATTCCCAAGTCTACAAGATAATGTTTGGTACATCATCTCATTTTCATATCTATTAATGTAAAAAAAAAATCCTTCATATACTGTATAAAAACTTTGAATCTTTTTGCATCTTAAATGAAAATTACAAGTTTTTCTGGAATCTTATCCAGGAGAAGTTCCACATACTTAATTTAGACGAAATTTCCTTATGAGAGCCAAGCTTGTAACAGCGGAAGTAAAATCAGCATGACTAGACATATAGTTTTGCATCTTTTCCATTCTCCTTTTGTTTTCATTTGTATAAATTAACTGCAGCTGATTAATGTTTTCAGATGCAGTCACTATATCAGAAACTGGACAAACCAAAGCTATATGGATTCTAAATTATACAATCTCTGTCTGTATATATTTACTGTGAAAACTGTTTAACTTTCTGGGGTTTTTTGCTCAGTGAATCCACATGTGTATCTGAGAGTAACATATAGAAGACAGTTTGGTGGTTTTCTATGGGTTTTTGGTTTGTTTTGATTTGTCATTTGGGAGATAAAAATGGAATTACTATCTTTCCTTCTATTACATAGTTCCTTAGTTTTTATCCTTTAATTGTATCTTGATTCTAAATGTTATACAAAATCTGTGCTTACTTTCTATTTAAATTTGGGTCATACTTTCAAATTATTCATATCATTTAGATCTGTATATCCTTCAGTTACTGCTGCATCTTTTTTGAGATAGTGTAATAGAACAGTACATGGTGTTCCAGATATACATGTAATAGATCAATATTGAAACATGTAACAGCTCAACAGTATTTGCAGAATTGTTTATTAGTCTATCTCTTACATTACTGAATAGAAGCAATCAAAAGTTTTAACTGGGTAGTATGCAATGACCTTGGAGTTCCTACTTAAATTACAGAAGGTTATAACTAGTTCAAATGTTCTCTGCTTGGTTTCTGCCATTTGATTTTTTTTTCTTAAATCCTGCTTCATTCATTAGTTCTCCTAAAATATATCCAGTCTTATCTGTTCATATTCCTGACTGATTTGAATAATTATGTATCTGGAAAGTACCTCAGTTTGCTGTCTGCCACAATGGAGCATTTTTCAAATGGAATCTTGAGGGACTTGTTACCATCTTAAAATACAGATATAGGAAATACAGGTAGAGGAAATTACCCGTTTTTCTCATACTTGTCAGCTTTCTTGGCTATTTCCTTTGTAGAACTTTGATCACAATTTGAAAGTTCTACTATATTACCTCATCCTCCTCTTGACTTCCTGTCCGTTATCTTCTATTTTTTTTTGTCATTTTTAAAGTACATTAGAGGATTTTTTTGGATATTATTCCATCACATGATTTGTTCATCTACATTATTATAATTGTAAATTACAAATTTCTGTCTTGAAGTAAGGTTCATTGGTCAATTAAAAATGCCTACTTAAAAGACCCATGCAAGTTTTATTTCTTTCACAAGTAGGAACTTGTGCTAATACTTCATTGTGTTTGCCTGCAAGTTTATTGCAAATTTGGACACTTATTCTTAAGTTCCTGGAGCTTAAGCATGCGCATAAATAGTTATATACATGCCATTTTATTCCAGTGATTTGCTTTGCTTAAATATGTTACCATCTCTATCTATGAAGTTACTTGTCTATGTTGCTACTATTTTTGTCACATTTATTAGGGAAAAGAGAAAAATATCTCATTTAGATCATCAACAGTAAATAATGTAAAATCAATTTCTTTTAACTTATATACTTTAGTCAGTTGTTTTCTCTGAAAATAGCTCTTTCTAGATTGGATATTCTTTTGTTCCTCTTCTAGGTCAAAAGGGAATCTTAAATTCTTTTCTTATTTCTATTCAGTTAGAATTAATATTTTTTTCCCTATTCATTTTGTGTTAGTTTCCACTTTCTGATGTATATATCTGTCTTGTACTGCTGTTTCTTTTCTATTTTGCTATCATGTTTAGTTTTACTTTCCTGATCTTGTTTTCCTTAAGGTTTTGAATAAGCTGTCAGTTAAGTACAAGGTAATTAGTAGGTTATGTGGAAGCAGTTTGACTTTGTCTGTGCAGAGGATATAACAAAATACACATCACAAACGAAACGGGAGATGACACAACTTAGTTGCAGAAACTGTTACTAAATCCCACCTTTTTATCAGACCTCTGACTTTCAGTTTACATCAAGACAAACAGGTCATTCAGTTTTCTCAGCCATTGAACGCTGAAACTTTCCTTCTAATTTTTGTGGTATATTGCCTCTTGGTTTGGCTTGGTGTCATTTTAAATCTTCTTCCTCATTACAGTAAACAAAAAAGCTCCTGAAAGCAATAAGCTGAGCCCAGCATGCTCTTCTGAAGGCTTTTTGGGAAGCTCTATTGTGTTACCTATACTGCTGTTGGTTGTCATACACCAATACTTGTTTTGGGAGAATCAACTAACTGTGGTCAAGAATACTGATCTGAGTTCTCACATGCTGTTGTGTGTGTTTCCTGGGTTCTGAAGGCACATTTCCTGCATTAGTTAGATGGGGATTGTCATACCAGGAAAAAAAAGAAACACCAGGCTGCTCCATTCAAATCTGCACTTAAACTGTACTGGCCTCACTCTCACTAGCAGCACTTCAGCAGAGTTGCTCATTGCTGTGTAGAGGTATTATTACCAATATAAGAATGCCAGAATCCAACCAGGAAATTGTATTATTGATCTAGTGAAATAATATTTCCAGGACAGTTGGTTTTCTTCATTCATATGCTGTCCAGCTTGACAGGATCTCTGGTTTCTCTCACATTACGATAATGCAAGTAATAATCATTTCACTGTTCTGGTATTCTGAGATTCTTTAGGGTGTTCCACCAAGGTCCTGCCATCAACCACCCCTCAAAAATTGTTTCAACAGATTATCTTTTTCCATAGTATCTCTGCTTCATTGCTTTCTAGTTTCACTGAGGTTAACAAAGGTGGAAATTGTATAGTAGAACATGAAATGCTAATGTGGTAATGTAATGAATTTTCTTCCAGAGGGCAGCTTCTTTCTTCATTCTACTCACCACAATAATCTAGTACAACGGATGGGTAGAAAATAATTTAGCAGTATTGAATTGACTCTTTTAAGTGGATTGTAAGAGTTTATTGACTTTGTGTTAAGCTGATATTTTAATACTAGTATATGATTGCTGGAGTACTCTTTCAAGTTTGGAAGAATTTTTTTTACTTTTGTTCCTTTTTATTACTTAAAAGATATACGGCGGGAGGTTAACACTTATTGTTCTACTCTGTCAGATTTTCCTGTTTGAAAAATGGAAGTGACAATCACTTTTTTTTACAATCTCTTCCCCTTTCTCTTCCATATTTGCTCCTGCCCTTAGTTGGATTTAATGTTGTGGCCACAGCTGTTTTTAGCTGCTTAGTGCTTTAATTAGAACATTTTGTTCAAGAACGCAGAGACTGAGCCAACAGCAAATAAAGCTGATTTTATGTTTTGGACTTACTTTTCCAACAAATTGTGAACTATTTTGATTTTTTTCCTTTTCTTCTTCAGCGTTGAGTGTTCTGTAACATCTTACATATTGAGAACCTAGAAATACAGTTACTTTCCTGTAAACAGAAGTATGATTATTTTCTAATATCCAGATTGGAATGTTTTGGTCTCAGTTATGGTTTTGTAGGCCTACATGTACGATTGTTAAAATCAATATGGTTTTAGAGGTGTCTCCAGTAATTATAACTCATGTAATTGCAACTTTCCAGTAATTATAACTTTCAATTTCTAGTATATATGTTTTTATTCTGTTGGAATTCTGTATTTAAGCAATTAAACAAGTTCTGAAGTTGGTGTTCAACTTCTGTTGTCTTCAGTAACATTTTATCAGATCTGTTCTTCAAACTACTAAATGCGGAAATGGAAGTTAAAAGTTTGGCTGTGCATTTATGAAAGGTTTGGCTTTATGATTGACATCTAAAATTACTTTTCAGACATGTCATTATATTTATTTATAGTACAGAACAGCAGAGTAATTTTGTTCAATTCTTGGAAGATATTCATGATGACATCAGTGTTGCCTTGAGAAGTGACTGAATAATTCACTAAAGCAGGATAAAAGTGAGATTGGCCAAGGTAGCCAGAACAGAGATAAATCATGTAAAATACTAACAATTAGCAATTTAGAAAGTCTAATATCATTAAAATCAGAATGTGCTAAAAAGTCTTAGAAAAGATTCTCACTAAGGTCTGAACATAACCAGTTACAGAAAGATGCAGGTCCTGAATGTGATTCTGAGTTGAAGAATCACGT